GGGGTCTGCCCGTTCCAACCCCGGCCGACTCGGATCACGAGCTGATGGAGCTGGGTGGAGACGCGATCCAAGAGAGTGGAGGACAACAGCGCCAGTGTCACTCTGGTGGCACGAAGGGACATTACACCGCACGATGTCGTCAGCGTTCTTTTGGGTCTGGAGGCGGCAGGCAGGGCACTCGCATCACCCCAGGTATCGAACACCCACACTTGTTCAGAGCCCTCTGCTGCGCACTGTACCCTACCCATCCACTTTCCTGATCACATTGTAGTTCCCCAGTGTAAGGCGCTAGTCGATTCAGGCGCAGCTGGGAATTTTATGGACAGGGCATTCTCACACTGTCTAGGAATTTCATTGGTTCCCCTATCCATTCCACTCCCCATCAGAGCACTTGACAGTCGACCATTAGGGTCCGGGTTTGTTAGGGAAGTTACTGCACCAATCACCATTGTTACCTACAAGACTCATTGCGAGCAAGTCACGTTTTTTATTATTGAGTCTCCTGCTTTCCCTGTGGTACTAGGTATCCCTTGGTTAGCACTCTCATGGCCGAAGAGGGTTCTCACGGGGTGGTCATGAGAGTGTCAGGGTAGGTGTCTCTGTGTTTCCGTTGGTGCAACCACGGTGGAAAGTCCAGACAGTACCTCCACCGTGCGCATTACCCCCCTAATACCTCGATTTGGCACACGCGTTTTCCAAAACGCAGGCGACCAAGTTACCACCTCATCGGGCGGGGGATTGCGCGATAAACCTCCGGGTAGATGCTGTGCCTCCCAGGAGTCATGTGTATCCCCTGTCACAGGCTGAAACGGAGGCTATGGAAACATACGTCACCGAGTCCCTGCGCCAGGGGTTTATACGTCCCTCCACTTCACCCGCCTCCTCAAGTTTATTTTTTGTGAAGAAGAAAGACGGTGGTCTGCGCCCTTGCATTGTTTCTCGATCACTGAACAAGGAGAAGATACGATTTAGTTATCCTCTCCCCCTCATTCCTTCAGTGATCGAGTCAATGCATGGGGCGCGCTTCTTCACCAAATTAGATCTCCGGAGTGCGGACAACCTGGTGCGTGTCCGGGAGGGGGATGAGTGGAAGACAGCTTTCAGCACAACCACAGGGCATTATGAATACCTGGTGATGCACTACGGTTTGATGAATGCTCCATCCGTCTTCCAGTCCTTTGTGAACGAGGTGTTTCGGGACATACTTGGTCGCGGTGCAGTGGTCTACATCGATGACATTCTGGTGTATTCCACTACACGCGCCGAGCATGTGTCCCTGGTTCGCAAAGTGCTGGCCCGACTGTTGGAAAATGCCAAGGCAGAAAAGTGTCTGTTTTTCCAGCAGTCCGTCTCCTTCCTCGGATACCGCATTACCACCTCAGGTGTGGAGATGGAGGTAGATCGCATTTCAGCCGTGCGTAATTGGCCGACTCCAACAACGGTTAAGGAGGTGCAGCGCTTTATTGGTTTCGCCAACTACTATCTGAGGTTTATCCGGGGCTTTGGCAAGGTCGCAGCTCCCATTACATCTCTGTTGAAGGGTGGGCCGTCCCGGCTCCGCTGGTCTGCTGAGGCTGACAGGGCCTTCAGTAACCTGAGGGGTCTGTTCACCTCAGCCCCGGTACTGGCCCACCCCGATCCATCACTACCGTTCGTAGTGGAGGTGGATGTGTCCGAGGTAGGGATAGGTGTTGTCCTATATCAACGCTCGGGCATGCCACCCAAGCTCCGCCCCTGTGCCTTCTTCTCTAAGAAGCTAAGCCCGTCGGAGCAGAACTACAACGTTGGTGATCGGGAGCTGTTGGCTGTTGTCCGAGCCCTGACCTTGTGGAGGCATTGGCTCGAAGGGGTGAAACACCCTTTTCTCGTCTGGACAGACCACCGTAACCTGGAGTACATCCGGGCAGCGAGGAGGCTGAATCCTCACCAGGCCAGGTGGGCCATATTCTTCACCCGGTTTGATTTCACACTGTCATACATCCCGGGTACGAAGAATGTGAAGGCAGACGCATTGTCACGGCTGTATGACACAGAGGAGAGGCCCAGAGACAACACCCCCATACTCCCGGCCTCCTGCATTGTGGCGCCGGTAGTATGGACGTGGATATAGAGCAGGATTTACGCACAGAGCCATCTCCACCTCAGTGTCCAGCTGGGCTGCAGTACGTGCCTGCTCTTATCCATGACCGTCTGATCTACTGGGCACACACGTCACCCAGGTATCGGTCGTACAGTGCGCTGTCTGACCGGAAAGTACTGGTGGCCTACCTTGGATAAGGACGTGAGGGTGTATGTCTCCTCCTGCTCTGTGTGCACCCAGAGTAAGGCACCTAGGCACCTCCCAGCGGGTAAGTTACAACCTTTAGCAGTTCCACAACAACCATGGTCTCACCTGAGTGTTGATTTCCTTACCGATCTTCCCCTCTCCCAAGGTAACACCACCATCCTTGTCGCTGTGGACCGCTTTTCCAAGGCCTGCCGCCTCCTTCCTCTGCCCGGTCTCCCCACGGCCCTGCAAACTGTGGAGGCCCTGTTTACACACGTCTTCCGGCACTACGGGGTACCAGAGGATATAGTGTCTGACCGGGGTCCCCAGTTCACATCCAAGGTCTGGAAGGTGTTCATGGAACGTCTGGGGGTCTCGGTCAGCCTGACCTCTGGTTTCCAACCCGAGTCTAATGGGCAGGTGGAACGAGTAAATCAGGATGTGGGTAGGTTCCTGCGGTCCTACTGCCAGGACCGGCCGGGGGAGTGGTCGGTGTTCTTGCCATGGGCCGAATATGCCCAGAACTCTCTCTGTGACTCCTCCACTAACCTAATACCATTCCAATGTGTTTTAGGTTACCAAACGGTTCTGGCACCGTGGCACCAGAGCCAGACCGAGGCTCCTGCGGTGGATGACTGGTTTCGGTGTGCAGAGGAGATGTGGGACGCTGTCCACCTCCAACGCGCCGTGCGTCATCAGAAGGTCAATGCTGACCGCCACCGCAGTGAGGCCCCGTTTTCCGTACCGGGTGATCGGGTCTGGCTCTCGACCCGGAATCTGCCCCTCCGCCTGCCCGGCCGGAAGCTGAGCCCGCGGTTTGTGGGGCCGTTCAAAGTCCTGAGGAGAATCAACGAGGTTACCTATAGGTTATTACTCCCCCATGATTACCGTATGAACCCCTCGTTCCATGTGTCTCTCCTCAGGCCGGTGGTGGCTGGTCCGCTCCAGGAGTCTGTGGTGCGGGAGGTCCCTCCGCCTCCTCTGGACATCGAGGGGGCCCCAGCATACTCTGTCCGTTCCATCCTGGATTCGAGGCGTCGGGCAGGCTTCGGCGTTCGTCGTCACCGGCCTTCTAGACACTGCCGCTCCATATCTCATCATTCCATTTGTCTTGTCTTGTCAATTACACACACCTGGTTCATATTCCCCTCATTAGTACGTGTTTAAGTGTTCCCTCTGCCCCCTTGTCCTTGTGGGTGATTGTTTATTGTGAGGATTAGTAGCTCGGTTGAGCTCAGTATTTTGTATTGCCGGGGTATTTTTCCCTGTGTGCATGTTTGTTCCAGTGCGCCTGTTTTGCGCACTGGACTGGTTACGGAATAAACTCTGTATATTGTGATTTACCCTCCTGCGCCTGACTCCTTCAAATCACGTATCACAATTACCATATCAGAAGCCGCTTCGTTTGACCCAAATATACTATTCAGTAAATTACTCTGTAAAATATATCTATATTTCCGTGCAAGATTCGACTCATCTAAAAATAGATCAGGATTCCAAATGAACATTTATCCTGGCACTTCTAGAACACACTTAATGCAAATTAGAGGCATAAATGCAAGAGTAACGGAGGGTTGTAATAATTCTGTATGACACAGTTCTCTTCTCCATACATCTCTGTAATAAGAACGTTTGTGGAAGAAGCTTTTTAGTTATTCTATAAAATATTTGTCTAAAGGACAAAGGAAGTTAGATGCTTGGCTTGTACCTAAAGCAATGGTTGGACCACTTGTATTATAGCTTATTTATAACACAACACTATATATTTTGATGGGGTGCTTCAATTAGAGAGAACCCAAAGCAAGTACTGATTCCATCATCATAATTTGACTGTCCTTACTGTACAGTAGTACAGGCCAGGGGTTATGATGAGTGGCTTCCTAAAAGGAGACCTTCCTCATTCTCAAATCAATGGAGGAAATGACTAGCATGATGTCACTAAGAGGAGTGATGCATTTTCCCAGATTCAGAAAATGTTTCGCCTCAGCATATTGAGAAAGACAAAGCAGCACTCAATATGCATATGTCTGGGTTTGATGATAACTCATCATGGGTACGCTTGGTGTCATGAGTTTAGATATTATAAAATACTGTAGTTTCGTTGTGAAGAATGATGTGACGCTTAGTAGTGAAATATAATCATTTAACTTACATCATTGTAGTTAGAATACCTCATGATATGCTGCAGACCATATTATTTATTTTTCGTAGCTGTCTATTTAACCACAAACCGATGCTGGCACTAAAACCGCACTCAACGAGCTGTATAGGGCCATAAGCAAACTAGAAAATCTTCATCTCGAGGCGACGCTCCTAGTGGCCGGTGATTTTAATGTCTTGCCTAATTTCAACCAGCATGTCACCAGGCGAAAAAACTTTACGTCACACGGAAATGCATATAAAGCTCTCCCTCGCCCTCCATTTGTCAAATCTGACCATAACTCTATCCTCCTGATTCCTGCTTACAAGCAAAAACTCAAACACCATACATGGGAATATTTTGACTCAGTACTACAACCGTTAAAAACAAAGATTTATGGTAGCTGAAGACTGAGACTAAGCATTTGGGTTTGAAGTGCATTCATGTCATAATACAAGGGGCTGACATGGATTGCTTGGCCCATTAAGTGCAGGTCATTGTTGGTTCACCTCTCTGTTGCCTGTGAGCGTGAGTATGTTGGCTGGGTGCCTGGGTGGGTCAGGGGTATAATCTGTCTGTGTGAGGCCCCCAGACACACCCTGGGAATGGGGCATCTGGCATCGCAGCGGCAGGGCTGGTGCTGGGGCAGGGCTGGTGCTGGTGGAGGACTGGTGCTGGGGAATAACTGATGCTGGGGCAGGGCTGGCAGGGTGCACCGTAGCAAAACATTTAAAAGCGTTTATCAATTGAAACAGAAAACAAGCGGTTCTTATTGGACAAGTTCAGGAAGTTGCTCCCTGTTCCAGTCCTTTTCTTTCTTCGTTTGGTGCCAAATTAATACAACTCAGGTGCCAGTAGGCAGGGCCTCTGTTGGAGACTAATTCAGGGCCCTACAGTAGCTGCATCCTGGAAAAACAGGAGTTGGATCAGTCTGTGTATCAATTCACAGTCTGGTAACGTTTCATTAGGGCCATATTCAGTCATTAGACCTTTAGCAATGACAGTAACCAAAGTCAGAATTTCATAAGCATCATGTCTACTGTGTTCTGTTTTAAAGCAGAAATGGGATTCTTAGAAACCTCTGAAGTGCAGTTACCATAGTAATCACTAGCTGACTCTGGGGACTTGAAGGCATGCACAGAGTCATAGAAAGTTTAACTAATCTCAAGAAACTTGAATTCATATCACTTAAATGTGCAACACTGACTGTTCAGATTTAGTAATATTTCTGCTAGGGAAATATAAATGTGGTACAATCACAGATGAGATGCTGTGATCAGTACAAATTTATAAACAAAATATAAGTGTTCAACCTCCGTCCATTCAAAATGGTGTTGCATATAATCCACATTTAATGAGGCACTTACGGAAAGTATTAACGGTCAAAGCTTACACCTACACTAAGCTTGAAAGCAGCAGTTTTGTGAAAACATCCAACTGCAGTTTGATCATTTCCACATTAACTTTACAGATGCGGCACTTGTATGTGGTTATTTGTGACAAAATTAGTTTAATATCAGTGCTCTTAATGTAGAGAGCTACAAAAATTATAGAGGCACCAAAACACAGACACTAATTGGTCACCAAGTTGGCCTCCGCTGAACATGTTCTCATGTAATGGAATAGTAGAAGCAGTGTACAGTGCTGTAGTCAAATAGCCCCGGGGTGAGCCGGTAGATTCTGGGGGGTTATGTTTGGACGGTTGCCCAGACTACCAGTGGAGCATATCATTTTTGTGTGTGTGAGGATTTAATAGATTGGTGGAGCTGTAGTCAATAGCTAGCCTCATCTTAATTCTGAGCATCTCTCTCTCTGGCAGTAAAAGTGTATGTTCGAGAAACAAGCTCTTTCAAGCCTTTATGTTTAAATGGTTAGATTAGCATTGTAAATATAGATGTAGGTAATTAGCTGGAAATAGCTAGCAGCTTAAAAGTGATGTTCCATCCACTCTAAGGTTCTGCGTCCCAAATGGCACCATATTCCTTATATAGTGCACTACATTTGACCAGAGCCCTATGGGTAGTAGTGGACTATAAAAGGAATAGGGTGCCATTTGGAACTCTGCCTAGAACAAGCAAGTGTATAGCTGTTTCTGCCAATGCTAAGGTTAACTCAACTTTAGTGTCACTTGAGACATTCTCACTGTGTAACAATTAACTCCACTTTTAGAAAACAATTGGTCTTTATTTATTAATTAATTTGCAATGACAGGTTAAATGTACTTATAAACTGGGTGGTTCGAGCCCTGAATGCTGATTGGCTGACAGCCGTGGTATATCACGGGTATGACAAAACATGTATTTGTTACTGCTCTAATTACGTTGATAACCAGTTTATAATAGCAATAAGGCACCTCCGGGGTTTATGGTATATGGCCAATATACCACTGCTAATGACTTTGTCCAGGTACTCCGCGTTGCTTAGTGCCTAAGAACAGCCCTTAACTGTGGTATATTGGCCATATACCACACCCCCTCGGGCCTTATTTCTTAAATGTATCATAATCATTATTCTAGCTACAATACCAAGCTGAAGTTATGTAACCTTGACATCACTTTCTCTGTGTTTATTGTTTCTAGCCACACTATGTCTGTATTCACAGAATCAACTGCAATAGCACTACATAATTCACATCAAATCCATGTGCATCCTTAGGCATACCTAACACAGGATAACACAACACAACATCAGAAACTCTCTTACTGCTGAATGCAGTCTGTTGGATAGGAGCTGTAAGACCCACTTTTAGAAGTTAGACTTGGTGAAATTCATTCTAGATAGGATTATAATATGAAAATGGATGGAAAGCATTTGAGTGGCACATATAAACACAAATATGATATGACTCTCTATATGCATGCATGACCAAAGGGGGTCATACTGTGGGGAAGTCAAGGGGTAGCACATTAGCTGATACGCCAAGAGATCCAAACTTCTTGACAAGGTCGCTAGGTGTCCTGTAATTTGACTTATGGATGTATTGTTTCCTTTTGTTCCAGGTATTTCCACGCCATCTACCTGGGCATCCGGAGCCGGCGCAGTGGGGACCATGACCGCTGGAGGTTCTACTGGAGGATGGTGTATGAGTTTGCTGACGTCAGCATGCTGCACCTCCTGGCCACCTTCCTGGAGAGCGCTCCTCAGCTGGTCCTGCAGCTCTGCATCATCATCCAGACCCACAAACTGCAGGCTGTCCAAGGTACTGGTATTACAACTCTCCCTCTCATCCCATCTGTCTGCCACTATACACATACTGTAAATACACAGGCCATCCAACGTACTTTCTGAAACCACACTTTCACATACTCTCTCCATCCCCCACTATTCCCATTCATTGTCTCTGTCTGTTGTAAATCAGTCACATTGCACTGTTAAGGTTTTCCTGGTAGGGATACCACGGTTTAAAAGAACACCACCACCCAAGTGTTCTATTGTAGGCCAGGCCTGTGTGGAACACTTATTTGTTAGTGTAAACAAAAGCACATCAATGTAAAGTCTGCTCTTGGAAATGCAGGCTTAATGTCATGTTGAGCTCAGAAAGAGTGTGGTCCTCTCTCCGGGGCAATGAATCATGTTTAATTATGCTTTCACACGCACACCTCGCACACCTCGCATGCCTCGCACTTGTAAACGCACACACACACACCCAAGCAAACGCACGCACAGGGGCAGGAAGGCTGGCCACATGTAGGCCAGTGGAGGGCTTCCAGGCCTGCTGTGGGCTTAAACACTACCACAAGTCTTCCCCTTGTCCATAGTCCCCACAACTCCACAGGCTTGCTTTGCTCTACCTTCTCTTCTTCTGTGCTGAGCCGCGGGAAGGAGAGTCTTTACTGCACTTAAGAGGCACTAATGCTCTTTCTGCTGTGCTAAAGAAAATTGGGCCTCTGACGTTAGAGGAGGGGAGAGGAGGGGAGAGGGGTTTGGAAAAATCTGTGATGAGCTTGAGAGGGAGAGAAAACAATAGATCCCTGAGGTTAAGAAAGGTGTTATTTTGATCATGCGGCCATGGCCACAGACATTCACATCTCTCTCTCTCTCACTCACTCACTCAAAGTATCACTGAGAGAGTTATCCAGAGAGTTAGTTATCCAGCTCTGTTGCTTGCAGTGAGAAAACCATATAGTGCCTTTTTATAAAAGCAGTGACGAACCAGTGAGAGAAACTGTCAGTAACACAGTGACAATGCCAAAGGCATGAGTCTATGAGGAGAAAACCACTCATACACTGAAAAAGCTTAGCTGTACAGTGTACCAGGAAGCAGACACTCATGAACGTTTTATTTCCACAATATCCATTTCTCAGTGCTGTCAACAGTAATGACCCTGCTGCTGCTGCTGAAGCAGGTATTTCCACACAGGCTATGTCTGAAATTAAAACAAATTCCCTATATAGTGCTTATACTATATAGTATCCTGTATAGTACTTTTGGCCATAACCTTTGTTGTCCAAAATGTCCCCCAATTCCCTATAACATAGTGCACTAGTCTGGTTAAAGGTAGTGCACTACATAGGGAATAGGGTACCATTTGGGACATTGCAGCCCCAGTGCTGCAGTGATGCTGCTGTGGTTTACATAACCCTGCCCCTCCTTGGTCCCCAGCCCGCCCCCTTTCCCAAATTACTAAGGCTTCTGTGAGCAGGAGGAGAGTAAGGAGCATTACATAACCAGTCAAATCACACTGCCCAGTAGCCAGGCAGCACGCTGCTGGACTGTGGCAGCCCGGCAGGTTCCTCTGGCTCTGGCTTCCCTCTCCTCCTCCTCCTCCTCCTCCTCCTCGAGATGTGCTGCACGTGTGTGTGTGTGTGTGTGTGAGGGCAGAGGAAGGGCAGAGGAAGGGCTTTGCTTCCTTCCGCAGGCACACACCCACACACATGCACTAAACTAAACGCGCACAAACACACGCACGCAGGGCCTAGCTCCAGAATAAGAATCGCATCCCCCTCCCAGTCCCCTGCCACTCCTGGCCTCAGCCTGTTAATCATCCCACTCCACACAGTAGTCATTAAACCCTTTCATCACGTCCCAACACCTAATGGCCTGGCCTGCATCTAACTGGGTTAAAGACTGTCATTAATCAATGACAAACAAATACACACATATAAATAGATAGGCCTATCAATATAGTAGATAGATACAGTTGATAAAAAAGCATCTGCTTAAAGGCATAGCTATATTATTGATAGACATACAAACAGGAGACAGACAGACAGACACAGACAGACAGTTGTCTACTTTAGAGAAAAGTAGGAACATGACAGAAAATCATTGCGTTCTTCCACTTCTGTCTACACTAAAACGTGTTATCTAGAACCTAAAAGGGTTCTTCAGCTGTCCCCATAGGATAGCCCTTTGAAAAACTAGTTTTGGTTCCAGGTAGAACCCTTTTTGGTTTCAAGTAGAAGCCTTTTGGTTGTGGAAAGGGTTTTACCTGGAACCAAAACTAGTTTTTCAAAGGGCTCTCCTATGGGAACAACTGAAGAACCCTTTTAGGTTCTAGATAGCACGTTTTAGTGTAGACAGAAGTGGAAGAACGCAATGATTTTCTGTCATGTTCCTACTTTATACATCACGCCATTCAGTTCTGACATCCTGAAAAAGAGAGAGCGGACATCTCTCTTAACAAACTGACTCGGTTTGACTTTGAAGTGAAATTAATTAGAAAGCACAGGAGTCAGCCATATGTTAATGTCTGATAACAAAATGCAATTGACTGTAATGGTCCTGGGTGTTAAAGGCCAGGAACAGGGAGATAAGTAATGCATATACTGTAGTTACACTTAAGCCCATAGTGACTATTTGGGAGACATTACACAAAGGGTATCTACAGAAAGGGTAATTGGGTAACACTTTGCTGTACTGTAAGGCTCCTTGAGTGAGGTGACAGGATTGACATTGGCTCTATATACATATCCATCCACAAGGAGGCAAAGAGTTTTGAGCGAGGCTGTAAATAAAATATTGATTCTTTGATATGTATGTACATTGAAGCTGTCCTATATTTGCTCTATCATCTAAACTCTTCATTTACATTTGAAAGGGTGTTTGGATGGCTTTCATTTTAAACTTTTGAAGCTGGATTTATTTATCCAGTTCCAGGATAATTAATTGATTATGTATGAGGTTGTTGCTACATGGACAAAAATGTCCATAGCAGCCAGTCACATCATAATCCAGGATCTAGATTAGACAGACAAGTCTCTTCCCACAGCAGTCTGCAGTCTAGAAGGATGGATTTCGTTTTGTGCCCCATCATCATGTTTTCTCTTACTTTCTGGAGTAAAACCAAAGCCATCTCTGGTAAAACTGAAATGGAGATATCCAGGACAGCTCTACCACCAGACAGAGCACAGCTTGTTGCCAGATCTCTCTGTGTAACTCTTTATTGTAAGAGGAGCCAAGGGAGCTGCGTTGAAATAAATAGCAATCATCTCCATTTAAATGTGATCTGATCTATTATAACCTTTAAAGTCACAATATGCTCACAGGTTGATCAAGAACTAGTCCACACAGCCAGGCCGCTAGACTATTGGATAAACTGGGGTGTCACGGATTCCGCCGAGGCTGCTCCTCCTCCTTGTTCGGGCAGGCTTCGGCGTTCGTCGTCCCCGGAGTACTAGCTGCCACCGTTGAATGTTTCTATGTTTGATTGCTTTTGTCTGTCTATTGCACCTGTGTCCGTTTGTGTCTGATTATGTGTTCTATAAGTTGCCTGTTTTGTATTGGTTAGGTTGTGTGTTGTTTTTCGCATGTCAGTTGGTGCTGCGTGTTTGCTCTGTTTGTTGTTTTGGAGTTTACGCACAGTTTGCGTAATCGCTCGCCTCTGTGTGTTTTTGAGGCCGTTTATTGTATTTTTGCCTAGTGGTTTACTAGTAAACTTTGTTGGACTAAGCTTCGGTGTCCTGCACCTGACTTCCACACCACACTTACATCAGCCCTTGACATGGGGTCATGCGGCACAGCTCAACCAGTATTCATTTCCCAGTTTGCTTCACTCTCTCTTTGCTCTTGAGGATGTAATAAAGCAATGAAGCAAGTGTGTTTACTGAGCGGACTAGCTGGCTCACTTTATAGGAAAGAGTAAGTAGCTGTCATGCCCCGTAATAACGACTGTTCCTCACTTCTTATTTGAACAATGATTGAATAGCATGGTTTATTATTAAGCTTCCCAAAGAAAATGGAGAGTGGACTGGATGGGGACATCCCATTCTGAACAGGCTGATGGAAAACAAGCCTTAGTTTTTAATTGGATACAAACCTGTTGCAATTAAGTTTTCATTGTGTTAATAGGAAGCTGTCTTCATTATGCATGGACCAACAGCACCATTGTATAATCGCCAGAGAGAGAGAGATCAATGATCACAAATGGCACACTATTCCCTATATAGTGGGCGGCTCTATAGGGCTCTGGTCAAAAGTAGTGCACTACATAATGCAGGTGTATTCAACTCTTAACCTACGAGGTCCGGAGCCTGCTGGTTTTCTGTTCTACCTGATAATTAATTGCACACACCTGGTGTCCCAGGTCAAAATCAGTCCCTGATTAGAGGGGAACAATGAAAAAATGCAGTGGAACTGGCTTCGAGTTCCAGAGTTGAGTTTGAAGGATATAGGGAATAGGGTAACATTTTGGATGTATCCCAGGATATTTATGTGGTCCTCCTCCATGTGATTTAAAGGGTCGCATGAACTTGAATGGTGCCAATTAGCCTCCTATTGCTCCTACTTTCAGTGTTTGCAGTCAGATTGTAGTCTAAAGAGTTTCCCTTGAATCCCTAGGGCAGGGGTAGGCAACCCTGAACCAGGTGTGTTGAATTTAGGCAATCACAGAACTGATCAATTAGGTCAGGTGTGGTGCCTATATTTGAAACAGAATCCTGCAGTACCTGTGGCACTCCAGGAACAGGGTTGCCGACCCCTGCCCTAGGGGGTTACGGTTACGGAGGAATAATAAACAGTAGATGTATTCAATAGGATTTAACAAAAAGCTAGTAAAATGCAGTAATTTCAGTCCGTCCACTTGTGCTCTTTGCCTCTTGCACTTAGTCAGACCAAAGGATTGTGTGTGTGTGTGTAAAGACGTCTCGGGGCGGTCGTCTGTGTGTACATGCATGTGTAGGCTGTTTTCTCCCTCTGGTATGGAGGCCATTCTCCTCTCACGCTTCATAGAGGACGATCACTCCAGCACCATGAGCACTTGGCACTTGAACCATGGCACCCAGCTCCTCAGAGAAACCCAGTGTCATACAGCCAGGGATCACTAGACCTCTGCCAACACCACAGCCATCTTTACTGGATTTTACTGAGTACAAAGCAACAATAAAGTCCCTCAGTTCAGATATTTCAGAGCTAAACACCACCAGTGGGCCCTGTATTTTACAGGCAGCTTGGAAAAGAATGGGTTTCATATTGAGCTAATTGCGCTGCGGAGAGTCACTGAGTGGAGGAATATATAATGTTATGCAGTTCCTCCTGAAGGGTTGTTTGTCTCCAAATGTGCTTGGGTGCAAAAAACTTTGTTTGGCCCCCGGTTCTGTTTGGTGTTGCCTTGCTCTGTGACGAGTACTGAGGATACGAAGAGGCAGGACGCAGACGCAGGAATCAACAATGTAAAGGTTTACTTAACATTGAGCAAGAGAACAATAAAGAGCGAGGACATGACACTAACAATCACACACAACACAACACTGAACAGTCCAGGGCTATATAGGGGTGGTGATGAGGTGCAGGTGCGCTGGAGGTGATTAGGGTGCGTTGGGTTTCCATTCCGGTGTTGCCGAGGTGGTGCGCTCAGACCGGTGGCTCAGTAGACCGGCGAATCAGAGCGCCGGAGGGGAGCAACGGGAGGAGACGTGACATGCTTTTTGAAAAGTGTTCTCGTTTAAATACTTCCTGGAAATGTATTTTTTCTTCACACATTTCTTGTGACTCATCCATTTGAGACATTATACGTACCCGTACAGTATATATTAAAGAGTCGTCACATCATGGCAGACTTACAGGAAGGAAAAACTCCACACATTACTCCCATGTAGGCTACCACACTCTTTGATTATGTTATACCTGTGAATGTGATCATGACTGTGAGTCTCATTAGTTTTTTTGTCCTTTCTGTGTCTCCATAGGAATGACAGCGGCTGCCTCCCTGGTGTCTCTTGCCTGGGCCTTGGCATCCTATCAGAAAGCCCTGCGAGACTCCCGGGATGATAAGAAGCCAATCAGCTACCTGGCCGTCATCATCCAGTTCTGCTGGCACTTCTTCACCATCGCCGCCCGGGTCATCACCTTCGCCCTGTTTGCCTCCGTGTTCCAGCTCTACTTTGGTATCTTCATTGTCCTCCACTGGTGCATTATGACCTTCTGGATAGTCCACTGTGAGACCGAGTTCTGTATCACCAAGTGGGAGGAGATTGTCTTTGACATGGTTGTGGGGATCATCTACATCTTCAGCTGGTTTAATGTGAAGGAGGGTCGTACTCGGTGTAGGCTCTTCATCTACTACTTTGTGATCCTGCTGGAGAACACTGCTCTGAGTGTCCTGTGGTACCTGTACCGCGTCCCTCAGACCACTGACGCCTTCGCCGTCCCCGCCCTCTGTGTCATCTTCAGCAGCTTCCTCACCGGCATCGTCTTCATGCTCATGTACTACACCTTCTTTCACCCCAACGGGCCCCGCTTCGGACGCTCGCCCAGCCTCGTGCTGGACGACCCCACCGCTGCCTTCACGCTGCCCGCCGAGGGGGCCACCAACTCGCTGAGGTCCAACCGTGGTGCGCCCCTTATCTCAGGGGACGGCACCATTGGCAGGGACGGCAAATACACTGAGAGGGACGGCTGCATGCCCGTGTTTCAGGTGAGACCCACCGCCCCCTCCACGCCGTCCTCCCGCGCCCCGCGCATCGAGGAGACGGTCATCAAAATAGACCTGTGTCGGAACCGCTATCCGGCCTGGGAGAGGCACGTACTGGACAGGAGTATACGCAAGGCCATCCTGGCTATCGACTGCTCCCCCACGCCGCCCAGACTCCAGTACAAAGATGACACTACAGTTCAGGAGCGCCTGGAGTACGAGACCACGTTGTAGCCCTGCACTGCTGCCTGGACGCCTGGATGTTGGATCCTTAGAAATGCAAAACCATAATAAAGGATGACCATCAACTCGGATTTACAGCAGGACTGTGGCAATAATACGTTATTAGCTCTCTCTCTCTCTCCTTCAATACATACTAGCGTTGAACCATGATGTTGATTGTCATGGGTAAGAATAGACACAACTTATTAGTTGATTTGACGGAGGGATATATTAATTTTTTCTAAACGGAGTTCCTCTTTTTGGGTTTATTTGGTTGATGTTGTCGTTATTGTATTGTTTAATTATTTTTAATTTTATGTCCGTCAGGGATTCTCTTATTTGATAAAAGGCCATTGCACACACACATAAAAATTTGTCCCAATAGTCTACCATAATAAAAGCAGTGTTCTAATGAATGACATCATGCCTCTTCATAACAGATCCTTATGAAGGTTCGTAACAGGTTATAACAGGTCGTTATGAATGTCTTCTGAGCTCTGCCACCCAGGTGGAACCAAGCAGAGGACCATACACATTCTCCTGATGTAACCAATGTACCTGATGACTCAATGTAGGGTCATTGCTGGTTCTTAATGTTTACCTTTGGTATCTCATATCTACAGTAATTTCTATTACCACCATCTTAGATCTGCAAATATGTACTTTACATTTACAGTATACAAGTAATATCCCCTGATATACATAGAGTGGACGTGGTGATTAACAAAAATAAATAAAAAATAGTCAGCTAATGGTCCTGATTCACATTTAGGATGGTTCTAGTTATTTCTAATTCAAAGAAAACAGGTGACAAAGTAGTACACACGGTCCATGATGTAATTAGCGACATGAGTAGGGAGTTGTGTCTTTCATACTTTACACGTGTACTGGTCCATGAGTTCTGATCTGATTTCATCAGCCATGTTGTCCTAGTGCCAAAAGGTCTGAAACTACTGGATTTTGTGGACTAAGTGTGCGGGTGGCTGTGACTGCCAGTAACTGGATATTAGTAGATTCAGGCAGGGCAGAACTGCTATTTACTTTGAAGAAGCTTAGTACTGTACCTGGTAATCATGCTGTTTATATGCCACATAAAACCGGAATGTTCCTGTATTGTGGAGAGACTGAAGGACAAACCTCATCTTTTTTCTCGCCTGGATAAAAGGCGGCATGCCAAGAATAACTTCCTGGCAGCTCCTATTTACAGTCCAGCCTTGTGCAGCTCTGGTCTGGGCTGCCATGCGTCCATACGGCTGATAAGGATCAGTCTGCTTGGCCACACAGTCCTGTTCTGTACGGAGAGGAGGATAGGACACAAACGAGAAGCCACTTCAGCCAAACTACTCTCATAACTGAAGCACCTGCAGGATGTACTGTCATCATAGATGCCCCATTCTTTTTTATGTTTTACCTAACTCATGTAAAAGTGTATTGCCATCCGTGTGTGTGTGTGTGTGTGTGTGTGTGTGTGTGTGTGTGTAAGAGAGATAAAGCATGGCGTAGGAGGGTATGTGTAGATGCTACAATCAGTGGTCATTTTGTCTGCAGCTATATATTGTAGTGTAATGAACTAGAGACGTGCACTTCTGCACTATGGTGCGACAGGCTGCTGTAGCCTATACTCAACACAAGATCAGTACCAATTCTAGGGTGTATACCACTGATATCATTGTAGCTGTCAACACCAAACATCAATGGTGTCAAGATGGTCTTTTGAGCAGGAAACAACAAGTATTTCACCTTTTATGCTCTGACTTAAGCCCCAGGCACTATGACTGTGGATGTGATATCTAAAAATATCTTCAAATATCTTGAAAAGGTGTCTTCACAAAATGTATGTAGCTTGTCTTTCAGTTCTAGGTCACAAGCGCTTCTTTTTTATGTCTTGTTCGTTTGAACTATGGAGAGAAGAGGGTGACAAGGAGGAGAGAAAAAAACAAGCACAAAACTTCAGTGGAATTAATCAGAGCACATTGAGGGAAGGAAACCATGATATTCAATGTGAGAGTGAGAAAAGGCTCTTGATCAGTCCAGAAAGATGTGCCTGTTGTTTTCGATTAGAGCTAGATTTTAAATCTCTACTGAATGGTTCAGATTTATTTTTGGTGAACTGTTTTTGTTGAAATGTCTTATTATTTGAATTATAAATATCCGTTAGTATGTGGGAAATTCTTGGTTTAATTTGCTTTCACATCATTTGCCTTGTTGTTGCAACATCACAAAAATGGTCTTAGTTATGTCTGTTCCCTTCTGTTCTGTGGTATGTTTTACTCAACTCCATTAAATATTCAGAAGTGAATGCTGCTACACATTCAAGAGACTCTCTAAAAAGGTTTTTTTGGTAATACATGCAGAAGCACTGGGTAAAATGATGTCCACAGCTCTGTTTACTTTGAGTTGAATTCAGTGTGGAGCAGCATTAATGTTTTTTTTTATTAGAACAACTTATTTTTTCAGTTTCTCTCATTAATCCAGGGGTGTCAAACTTACAGATCTGGCCCGTGAGCCCATTTAATCCGGCCTGCAAGATAGTTTGAGTGTATATGTTAAAAATTAAAGTAAAAAAAAAAATGTTCTGGGGAAAACGATCTCAATCGAAATGGCAACAACAAAAAATACAAAACTGTAGAAATTATAATGGACCTACATTTATAGTCTCTTTATGCTGCTCCACACTGAATTCAACTCCAAGTAAAAAGAGCTGTGGACGTGATTTTACCCAGTGCTTCTGCATGTATTACCCCCCACAAAGACTTTTTTAGAGAGTCTCTTGAACGTGTAGCGGCATTCACTTCTGAATATTTAATAGAGTTGAGTAAAACATACCACAGAACAGTCACCGAAACAAAAAGCTAGACAGTCAGGGAGCATCCAAAATTCCAAAAGCGATGGATAGAGGACCATTTTCAGCAAACTTTGACGGCGAGGAAATATAACCAATTTTAAGGGTGGCTCTCCGGACCTTGGTGAAGACCAAATGCAGCCTGTGGGGCAAAATGAGTTTAACACGCCTGCATTAACCTGTCTGTGTTTTGTGTTTAATTTAAAATAAGCAGATTTTATTTATTTACAATGAAGACAGAAACCAAACAACAGGGGTGAAAAAGAGGAAAGCACAGGCTTAGAAATGAGCAAATTATCATGAATGGCACAACACTGGTGCTTTTGTCCTATTTTATCTTGGGATCTCTTATTTAGGTCTGCTATTGATGATACACTTATAGAGGTCAAATGAATTGCTCATCATCAACTAGTGAATCATTGAAGGTCACTTGGCCTAGTTCCATCTCCTCATCAATAAAACATTTAGTATATTATTCTCTCAATGTCACCCTGCACATGTCTTTCTTTAGCTTGCGTTGATTTCCTTTAGTCAATCTGATCCATGTTGATATGAGATTTTATCATGTTTTGTTCATATCACATTGTTTGCTTTCAACTGCTATTTTCATTTTCAGTGGGAGTCCCAGTGTTGATGATTTATTGGGGTCACGGCCACAAATAGACAACGCAAGTCTTGTTTTTCAGAATAGTGGTGTGTCTGACTGTGTCCTCATACATTGATATACACATAGGCTTCCGCAGTATTCATGTATATTGCGAAAAATTAACACCCACTGGACTCACCCAGTACACCACCCCTAAAAAGGCGAGACTTGTGCAAGACCTACAATCTAGCCAATATTCTACTATTTCTAAGTGTCGTTCTATCTTTAGAAAAAAGTAGTGTTGAGCTTAGAGTCAAACACAAATATGTGTCAGTCACTTTTTTATAGGGCAGAGGGTCAGGAAAGGTCAAAAGAGTCATTATTAGTACATCGAAAATACATTCCCTGTTGTCACAACTGAGTGGGAAAATCTCCTTTGGTCTTGTGGGTGATAATGATGAAATTATTATTACACCATCTGTAAAACCCATCTATACAGAAACACTTCGAAACATTTCAGGAAGGTGTCTAATTCTTTAATTCTAAAATATAATAAAATGTGTTAGCACATCCACGGTTGAATCTCAGACTACCATTGTTCATCATCACCTCTGAAAAAGTGTGTAAATTGTACATATACCTACCTCAACATGGTTTCTGAACAGAATACCCTCCTCTGACATCATTGATACATGATACTGTACTGATCTTCTTACCAAGAGCATGAATCCAAATGTGAAACAAATGATAAGGTGTTCAGTGTTTTGATGGTGGATGGTATTCTGTTTACTACTGTAAGTGCATCAGCAAGCAGACTGAGACAACAGGAAAATGCACTTGTCAACAAACCCGCTTCATTGTTTAAGAGGAATTCATGGTTGTGACTATTTAAGCTGCTTAGGCCTATATCTGTTTAGTTTGCCTTAAGAAAGTATTTATATGCTTTTGTTTAATTTCTTTCAATCTCATAAGGATTTGTTTTTGTCCTCTGGTTTTGTGGTTATGATGATCAAAGTGGTGTGAGGTCTCTAGGTTGATCAAAGTTCTCTGTTCACAGCCCAATAGCATTGTGTTTCTATACAGTTACTGTGCTTATACTATTATATTAATATCCACAATGCAAGATAGACCTATTAAGCTCACAGTTTAAATGAGCACACTTTTTACCCAATAAATTGACCTGTCCTTGTAGCAGGTAATACTGAAGACTTCTAACAAAAGGAACTACTATTATTATTTATTGATTTGGATCCATTATTGGTGGTTGAGTTTTGTTCTGAGGTATTCATCAACATTAGTTACTAGTAATGTAGACGAATAGCAGTGATGTACTGTATGATACTACTCCACCCCTACTGTAGCCTATAGAACATTAGTACAAGCACAGTAACGAATGAACATAGGAATGTCATTCCATTTTGTTTGACTTCTGAAGCATACTGTATAGATGTCCTTAGTGTCTCAGTTGCAAATGGAGGATCACAATAGTAATTGAAAAACAAAACTATATAACTGTAAATAAATGTATGCAAATGTACATGTTAAAAGAACATTCCTCTCAGAGTCCTGATTGTGAAGGGTTTCTGTTGACTGGAGGTCGCCGCCACAAAATGGCAGTTACATATGATGTAATACAGATTAAAATAGTGTGGTGTATGTGATGTATTAAATGACAAAAATGCAAAAAAACAAAAAAACGGTTAATTATTGTCTTTTAAGTAAGTTGCATTGTGTAATGAAAGTCTGAAGTGCTTAAACTGCATTAAATCGGATTAAAACACATTTTATTGTAAATTGAAGAGTAAAAACAGAACATGACATTTTTGTATGTATTGGATTTTTGTAAATTTTTATTTGATTCTAATGCAACACAAAGTACCAAAATTAATTTAATAAAGTACACTGTGGCCATTTTTTCAGCTTCCACTTAGTTAATTTGTGTTTTGTTAACACAGGTTGTCACATTATGTGCATGCAACTCTAAAGATATGAGTATAATGGTAATGTATTATAATATGATTCATATATTTTCACTAGAGCCACTGGTTATACAGCATTCCAACAGCATTGTTATTGATATAATGCAGTGTTTGCAGAATGGGCAGTGACTGAACAAAAGAACAGCACATATACACACTGGTACATTTAAGTGCATTGAGTTCTTTGCTTTGAATACTGTGTGTATACAGTATGCAAATAGGTAGGTGTGGGTAAAATTTACATTCTGCATGATGATACTAAATAATAGGTGCAATTTACCTCTTCATTCATTATTGAAGAGGCTGTATCCACAGACAATGGATGCGTCCCAAATGGCACCTTATTCCCTATATAGTGCACTACTTTTGACCAGAGCCTATAACCCTATGGGCACTGGTCAAAAGTACTGCACTATATGGATTAGGGTGCCATTTGGGACACAACCAGTGGCTACTGCAGCCCACCAGAGGCTAATAGGTGAACAGGATATCACACAGGACAGGCAGGGAGCGCTGTACAGGTGTCAAAGCCTCAGAACTAGATAGTACTGGACTGATATAAGCTGTACAATATGTCATGTGGATGCCAACAATGTTCCATATCTCAGATCTCTGCAGGCCTGAGTTTGAGCTCTAAGCATCTCTGCAGATAAACCAAAGCAGTTTCGCTTTGTTAAGAGTAGTAACAGTGTAATATATAACACTCTGAGTTTGTGGTGTTGCTCATCACTGTGAGATGTGTGTGAGTAAGTGTGATGGAGTTTGTCTGTGCTGAGAAATATCCTCAAAAAGCCATTGAAGAAATCCCATCATTCTTTATCAAAGATATTATGTAATTCTCACTTTTGGATTGCCTTAAGTGGGCAGTGTTTTTAGTTAGTACAGAGAAATACAGAGAAATAGTACAGAGAAGTTAGTACAGAGAAATACACTAAATGGGTTTTAGTATAGGCTACACATTACAGTGAACTTACACATTAGTTACATTTGACTTATAGGTCAGAAATAATTACTTGATCAAAGTCTTATTGAAACATTACAACCCGGAAAAATACTAGTGCAGAAAAGTTACCCAGAGGTTTTATTAAAGAAAAAATTATATTTTGTTTCAAACCACTTCCCAAATACTGTATCTTGGAATGGCTGTCTGTGGCACCATTTGCATGTTTTAAGTATACTGAACAAAAATATAAACGCAACATGCAACAATTTCAAAGATTTTACTGAGTTACAGGAATTCAGTCAATTGAAATAAATTAATTAGGCCTTAATCTATGGATTTCACATGACTGGGAATACAGATATGCATCTGTTGGTCACAGATGCCTTAAAAAAAAATGGGCCTCACAATGGGCCTCAGGAACTCGTCACGGTATTTCTGTGCATTCAAATTGCCATCGATAGAATGCAATTGTGTTCGTTGTCCGTAGCTTATGCCTGCCCATACCATAACTCCACCACCACAATGGGGCACTCTGTTCACAAGGTTGACATCAGCAAACCGCTCACCCACACAACACCATATACGTGGTCTGCGGTTGCGAGTCTGGTTGGATGTACTGCCAAATTCTCACTAACTTGTGGTAGAGAAATTAATATTAAATTATCTGGCAACAGCTCTGGTGGACATTCCTGCAGTCAGCATGCCAATTGCACACTCCCTCAAAACTTGAGACACCTGTGGCATTGTGTTGTGTGACAAAACTGCACATTTTAGAGTGGCCTTTTATTGTCTCCAGCACAAGGTGCATCTGTTATGATCATGCTATTTAATCAGCTTATTGATATGCCACACCTGTCAGGTGGATGGATTGCCTAGCAAAGAAGAACAGGGCGGCAGGTAGCTTAGTGGGTAAGAGCGTTGGGCCAGTAACCGAAAGGTCGCTGGTTCTAATCCCCGAGCCGACTAGGTGAAAAATCTGTCGATGTGCCCTTGAGCAAGGCACTTAACCCTAATTGCTCTTGTAAGTCGCTCTGGATAAGAGCGTCTGCTAAATGACCTATTATTATAAGAAATGCTCACTAACAGGGATGTCATTTTATTGTGTTGAAATAAGCTTTTTGTGCGTATGGAACATTTCTGGGTTATTTTATTGCAGTTCATGTAACATGGGACCAACACTTTACATGTTGCGTTTATATTTTTGTTCAGTGTATAAAATAGTATTTTTACAGGAATTACTTGTAACACGCAAAACTCATAATTAAAATATTTATTGTAACATTACAAATAATTTCTGACTTGAATCACACTGACAATGGACCTCAATAGGTTTAAAAAGTGCATAGGCTACAGTAAATATCTACATAATACAACAATGTACAAAATCCCCAAATTAAAGAAATTATACAATTATTTCAATCAAAAGGCAAACATTGTACACAGATGAAAGACAAGAAAACTGCCCAGTCTCCATACCTATATTGCTCCCTGTATAGCAATTGCTATATTGTTCCATTATTTGCAGTTCTTAAGCAAAAGAAAGGCCTCTTAAATAGAAATTGTTGCCAGTGGTACTTTGAACAATGTGTGCAAATCAATTGTGGAATCATACAACAATGCACAAATGTCTTCAATTTGTACATTTGACATTAACCAATATAATTACAGTTGTATGTTATATGACACCTTTACAATTTACCTTCTCTTCTGTACTTGTTGGTTTGTGACAAACAGAGGAAAAAGTACTAATATAGTTAAATAACAGAAACCAGGTATCAGTTAAACATTCAATTGATCACATGATAATACTCTGTAACGGTTTGTCTTAAAAACAAGTAACTGCTTCATTTAACTAACAAAAAGCTATTCAAAAGGTTATTTATTTTTCTTTATGCCTGCTGTGGAATCGTTCTAGTAATGCTCGAAGGACATTCCCAGGAATTATTTGGTGTCTGTCAATGAGTGCTTGAACTGCTTGCTGTGTCTGCAAATCAGAAAGAAAGGTTAAGGAAAATTATCTGACCCTGTCTTTCCCAATCATTTGACTTTTGTGTGCTCTACATGCCAGACAGTAAGTAACCATTAAATTACAGTTGCATAATGACTTACCTTTTCAGCTAATTCTGCTGCACTAATGTTAGGGTCGTATGGGATGGGGTTGCCTAGGTATGTACGAAACTTCACAGGAAAACCCCCATAGACAGGGGCCATCGGCACGCGGAACTTTTCATACGACCATCTGAAAAAGCCTGAGAAATATTACATTTTCAAGTTAATTTACTATTATGAAGTTAAAATAAAATAAGTTACACTGCAATTAAAATGTATAGTTAAGCATACTTACTTAACCCTCCGAGAGATCGGAATCCTTCCCTGACGTTTTGAGTAAACATCGGAATTATTGGCTGAAAATGTTTAAGAGATTAAATATCTAAAAGGATTTCAGATAAAGTTATGTTCCTGTGTGAGAGTAAGAAGTGACATGTACTGCGTCTGTCCCCAAATGGCACCCTATTCCCTATAGGGCTCCAGACCGCCATGGGGCTCTCGTCAAAAGTAGTGCACTATATAGGGAATAGGGTGCCATTTGGGACGCATCCTGTGAGAACAAAGACAGAAGGAGACTAAAACCAATATGTACCACTTTGGAATCGATAGCCACTTGTGCAAAGCCTTTTCTCTTCCCCCAGAGCAGTGGATAGGTCTCGTCACTGAGGAGGGCCTCCCTCACGCCTCCAGGTGAGATGCCCAGGAGGTGGCCACTTTTCAGAGCCTTCACACACTCCTCCTGGGGCCCGTGGATCACACTGAACACCTCCAACAGCAGCTTGAACCCTACAGAGAAGAAAAATGGTCATGCTTTTAGGGTCTATGCATCTCATGTAGTAAGAATGGACTACGGTAGCTGTAGGCTATTCACTTTACTGACCCAACTAGATACAGAGGGCTGAAGGTAACATCTCACTTTTATATTTAGATATTGGGAAATGGATCTGTGACGATCTTACCTGGAACTTTGAACAGAAAGTAATCAGCGACTGAGTGAACAATCCGTCCCTTTTGAATGACGACATTTGCCAGAAAGTAATAATAGTCAATGGGAATAGCCCCATGATAATAGACTATAAGAGCTGCTCCTTCATCTGGAATCTTCTCCATACCATGGATTTCATATCCTGTTAAGAAAAAGACAAATGTATATTAGCATTGGCAATAGTCATTTTCATGGTAAAATGGAAGTAAACAAAGCCATAAACAAACACCCTGCAACATCCCCTTACACACACACATAAATACCGTGCCATATGAACCCGTGGCCATCCCATAACGTAGCCAGCGTTTTTATAGCACCATCCCAAAGGTTGTTGGAGTAGGCCTCCCTGAGCTGGTTCTTGTGTTTGTATACATGGAGGAAGAGGATGGAAAGGTAGAGGAAGATCACAATGAGGAAGGGCAGGATGAAAACGACGACCAGAGGGGTGAACACCCAGGCCAAGTACTCCAGATAGCTCAGATAGTCTTCCAGGGGTCCTAGTCCTGACCATTCCTCAAATGTGTGAAAGATGCAGGCTAGAAAATCGGGTACATCACCAAACATGCAGGACTTGTTCCCATTTGACATACTGCCTGCCACACAGTTAGCCTCTCCCAAAGGAAGCCAAGTTGAATGAGGATACCATCTGCCAATGGGCAGGCCTGGAGTATAGAATGGAGAGAAGAGGGCTAACGTACAACTGCAATACATTACAGTAAATCAAATTACAATGAGAGCATGTTTTACACATGCTGGTTAATATACAAATAATCAAATCAGCATGCATCAATTAACAATTAGCTTGATGAATAGCAAGTAATCAAATGGTTGCATTTGCAGCATCTAGCTAGAACTTCTTCAAAGGTAATACTTCACAAATATTTTTTTCTTCCAGCGTAAATAATACTGGGGACAGATCATACCAGGGCCAGGCTCTAAAGCCAAATGAAAGTAAAGGGCCATTCATTCACCCCCTGTAACAGCTGAGTTAGCTAGCTATGTTAGCTGGCTACTGTCTTGACAACTGAGTGACACCACTCGTTACCGAGCTACAATAACTAGCTACTAGCATACTAGCTAGCAAGATACAACTTTAAAATCCAATTTAAAACTAGACACCTTAGCAAACTAGACACAATAATGAAAAAGCTACTCATTATGAATCGGCATTTCCCTCGATTACCTAGCTTGCTTTTAATTTACACAGAAGCTACAGAGATATTTATAACTTACCCCTTCTGTCTGTGGTAGCTAGTTAGCATGCTAGCTAGCTAGTTCTTGAGACTGAATGACCTCAACTACGTTAGCATTGACATCAAGCAAACAAGCAAACGCTAACGTTAGTACAGCTACTGCATGGACATCTATACTAGTTATTGCATAAATAACAATACCATATTTTTATGAAATAATTACATACATTTTTAGCCCTGGTTTGATCCCCTTGGAAAGTCGATAGCAGGAAAATTCCTGATTATTTTATTCTTTGTTCAACCGGTTCCTTATTCATGTGACACAAGCAGGAACTAATCTCATCGAGGCAAAACAACGTGTGTGGAATGAACTGCAGTAGAAAGGCTTTCGGTTTGCTAGCTTGCATATTTTATGTCTGAATTTGATCAGATAGTGTTAACCACATGGTGATTGATAATGGAAGATGGAATGTGGTTGTTGACATTATTTTTAGGCAAAGGAGCTTGGCTGGAGATGATCATGGGTCGATGCACTGCTTGTGCTCAAGAGCTTTTGTACAGTAAGTAAGTTAGCTCACTACAAGTACAACACACAATGTCAACTGTGTTGCACTGTTTTCACTTTTCACTGTCTTCTTTTTCTCCCGGTGTGTGGGGATCGTGAGTTGTACACATCTGACCGTAAAGCCATCACTGACCTGACTGAAGGTGGGCTGCAAGGTAGGACATACCCATTGATGTATGTTTGTATACATCATTGGACATACCTCACACCTTTTAATGATTGACATTTACATGCATTTTGATTACTTCACAAGCTTTGAAACCTGAAGGTTCTGTCTGTAACTCTGCTTATTGTTGCTTTGGAGAAGAGCTGTCAGAAGATGAAGAGACTGTAGAGGAGGATGGACCGATCCATGAAGAAGCCAAACTTATGGCCAGCATGGGACTGCCTGTGGAGTTCATAAGTTCCTCTGCACAGAGGAGAGCTGTAAGTAGTAGCAAGTAAACATTGCCTATGTCTGTCCGTCACCATAGAGTCCACCTAAAAGCAAGATAAAATATAATGTTGCTCCGATGCTCTCTCTCTCACCCAGTGTCTTTGTGTCTCTCTTGAAGTGGAGAAAGTTGAGAGAAGAGCATCTAATAGTGAAGATGACGATGATGATGATGAACCACCAGATAGAAGAATTGCAAAAGTTAAGCGCCGGTAAGCTACGTGACATAATTTATCTATGTATCCATGTCTTGCAGTATTTTACAGTATTGTCCTCTATTGCTCAACCAATATAGTATTACTGAATATCACTGTTTCAAGTGGCTGCCATATGCTGACAGTGACTGACATATTTTTTATATGGGTTTGATTTGAGCTATGGTTTAAGCTGTGAAGGTTTAAAATCTTGGCTATGATGCATTGCATGTAAAAGTGTCAGCCTGGGGAAGGAATGAAAGTGCTTATCCTCTGTCTTTTCAATGTCCAAGACATAGATTTCGATGCTTATATGATAAACACTCCATCATGTTTCAATAACCAAGGATTCTGTAAATAGATTCTGTAGAATCTGTATAAATGAAAATCAGTTGAAATCACATGGTCCATTCCAACCCAAAGGCTGGAATTGGGGACTGATATGTGATTAAGCCTACACTATGCTTTGTGAGAATTTAACAATATTGTTCTGCATTTTCCTTTTTTATTTTTAAGTTGTCTATTGCATCTCATCAACGTTCTACTGTTGGCTACACTTGTTCTGCCTCCCGAATGGCACCCCATAGGGAATAGGGTGCCATTTGGGACACAGACTTGTTCAATCATTGTGATTGTTTGTTAGGCTAATGATGTCTATTGATCTATTGATTGACACAGTCATGAACTGGATGTGGAGGAGAACCCTCAGATATCTGTGGATGAAGCCTGGGATAAACTGGGATTAAAGTGCAGCCACGACCCCATGTATGTGAGCATTACTACATCAGACTTGGGCTACGTCCCAAATGGCACCCTATTCTCTATATAGTGCACAACTTTTGACCAGCCTGGTCAAACAGTAGTGCACTTTTACAGTATGTAGGGAATAGATTGTCATTTCGAACAGAGACCAGTTATATGTACGCTTATGTGAGATTGTCCTCTTAGAATATCAATCTCTCTTCATGTTTTGATGTATTAGGTTTGAGACTGTGCTGAAGTTTAAGCCCCAGTAACCATCATGGTAGTAAGGCTGGGAGGAATAGGAAGCAACATGGAGGTAGAAAAGCAGCCTGCCACATCAACAAGCACACCCTCTTCACTGAAGAGGGAGATACCACAGAGCCCAAGCTGACCAAGACCTTTCAAAAAGTAAGCCTTGTAAACATTTGACCAATTATTATGAAATTATTATTGATAGCAATACAAATTGTCACCCTCATTTTAAATCAAAATAAATGTTATAGGTCACATACACATATTTAGCAGATGTTATTACGGGTGTAGTGAAATGCTTGTGTTCCTAGCTCCAACAGTGCAGTAGTATCTAACAATTCACAACAATACACAGAAATCTAAAGTAAAATAATGGAATTAAGAAATATATAAATATTAGGACGAGCAATGTGGCATTGACTAAAATACAGTAGAATAGAATACAGTATATACATATGAAATTAGTAAAGCAGTATGTAAACATTATTAAAGTTACTAGAGTTCCATTATTAAAGTGACCAGTGATTCCATGTCTATGCTAATAAGGCAGAAGCCTCTAAGGTACAGGGTTGAGTAACCGGGTGGTAGCCGACTAGTGATAGCACACACCCACATTTCATAGCAGCTTCTGACTAGCAAGTGGATGAGTGTGGTGAGGAGGAGGATGTGCTGTGGTTGACACCGGGGGAAGCCTTGTCAGAGAGGTCTGCATCATGTCTAACTCAGCTGTCTGTAGACTCAGCCTCAGTGCTCACTCAGTGTCCACTGGCAGAGGAGAGAATGGGAGAGCAGCCAAGACTCCACAGGAGCCCCTCCTCCCCTCCCTGTCAGTGCTGCCCTCCTCTGACACACCGCATCTCTTTAAACATGCAACCACTGTTTTCAGCCAACTGAATTTATTTACAATGCGCCGCCACACTGCACGGCACTGGTTCGAGGGTAGCCGCACTGTTTAAAGTTCATGTATCATCCGCTTATTTGAGTCAGTCACATTTCATTGGTAAGAATATCTTTGGACGGCTGATGTAGGAAGTTCACATCACTGGCTGACCTTGAGAAATAAAGGGAGAGGGTTCAGTTGGTCGCTATAAACTCAAAGATGCTTATTCACAACATAATAGAGAGGCTAGGAAATGCTGACTGCCGGATTGTCTTATCGCAAAGAAACTGAAACTTGTCAAAGTACTTGAGTGTGCACAAACTGCACTTCAAATAAGGAGAAACTTAATGACTTGCTGTACCTACAGTTATAGTTTCCCCCACCATTGAAATAGATATCAGTGTGTTTCTACTGAGTTAGCACTGAGTTGAGACATTATAAAGTAGTGTCGCACTGTGGGAGGACTGTAACCAGTTAAATGCAGTGCTTTTCCATTAATCTCTCTGTAGGAACTCACTGAATCCATCTTCTGGGCAAGACTTGCTGTTTTTACTGTCTGCAGCAAATGGCTCCACCATCTAGCATACACAGTAGAAATGAATTGAGCACTGATTAGGCCTACTTTAAAGTATTGTTTTGTTGTCTAACTTGTCATGCTTCTCTGTTCATTTAGTGTTTATTGCTCATGCTTGTGTCTTGTACTTGCAGATCACTCACTCATGTCCTTCTCTGTCTTTAGGTTCAGAAAGAGAACGACAGCTGTCCCAGACACACCAGTTCACCAGGCAGACAGGGGGAGCCCTGCTTGTCCATTCGCAGAGGGAAAGGAAGAGAGACTGGAGGAAGAGGAGCAGGAAGAAGAGGTGAAAGAAGATACCCCTCTGGAGTTGGACAGTACTGATCAACCCTCGTATCAGAACCTCTTCACCAGAACAGAGGATGAGGAAGAGGATGATGAGATTAATTTCAGAAGAGAGGTGTACTCACTGGACATACCAGACTACTTAGTTCCTGATGCACCTGAACACAGTAACACAGGTGAGTTTGCGTCAACAGCCGGTTTAAACCTTTTTCTAACCCAGGGTTTCTATATAAAGAATCAATGTCAGATTTACATTAGTGTATTGCATGTTTGATTGTTGAAGTCTTGTATAACTTTTTCACTGCCTATTTCCAGAGGCTACTGAAGAACAAGAACACAAAGAAAAGAGGGAAATGTGGAGTAATGCCAGCTGAGATTGCAGCGGAGCCCGAGCTGGCTAAGTACTGGGCCCAGCGCTACCGCCTCTTCTCCAGGTTCAATGAGGGCATCAAACTGGACCACGGTGAGTCACAGAGCAAACAGAACACACACTTCAGGAAACACAACCAATTTCTTCATACAGGCTCAAGCAGAAAGGGTTAGTCATATGGAGGAACGGATTTACCTTATTATTGTTGTTAATATTCCTCTAGTTTGAGAACAACTATTCTCCTATTGTAGTCTCCCAACCACTTCTAATCATGCAGCCCAAACGGAGTGTTGTCAAATGTGATTCAGGAATACACTTTATTCTAAAAAGAAAAGGATTTGCCTGAAGGTGACTGAACATTAAGTCTTTCTCTCCAGTTGAGAAACGGATGGCTGTTATGTCCAAGGTAAAAGCTACAGTTTTGCTGCTCTTGAAGTCTAACATCATGTTGTTTTCAGAGAAGCAGAGGGAAAGAGAGGCAGTGATGTTGAGATGGTGGTGTAGCGGGTGCATGGATTTGCTGGCTGGCAGGCAGGGCTCTCCTCTTCCTGTCTGTGAGAGAAGTGCTGACGCCAGTGAAGCACACCTCACACTTCTCCCTGTGTCACATGACATGACAGCATCAGGCTCTCTCCCTGTCTCCCAGCAGAGCAACTCTTTCATGACTCTCAAGTCTCTCCTGTCCTGTCCTGTCCTGTCCTGTCCTGTCCTGTCCTCTCCTCTCCTCTCCTCTCCTCTCCTCTCCTCTCCTCTCCTCTCCTCTCCTCTCCTCTCCTCTCCTCTCCTCTCCTCTCCTCTCCTCTCCTCTCCTCTCCTCTCCTCTCCTCTCCTCTCCTCTCCTCTCCTGTCCTTTACACTCTCTCTCTCTCTCTCTCTCTCTCTCTCTCTCTCTCTCTCTCTCTCTCTCTCCCTCTCTCTCTCCCAACAAAAAGAGCAGATACTGTAGCAGAAGTAGAAGCAACCTTAGTTAGGGTTGGGTGGAATCCAGATGTGTTATACCATTTCTGTACCATACCAGGGAATACGGCATTACCGGAAGTGCACACAAGGGGCACTATTAAAAAAACAACAACAAAAAAACATTGTCTACTGTAACCAAGAAGCTTGATCTTGACATCTAGCTACTTAGCTAGAAAGTTAGCAAACCAAATGCATAGCTGGAGCCCTGAGCTGGATATAATTTATTTGACACATCTTAGATTTCTTATAGTTATACTTAACTTATATTTATAAGCAGAGGCGTAGCACGCACCCCCAAACATTTTAATATTGGGAATCATACCATCGGTATTGTATAAACGGTATATCGCCCAAGCCTACTGTTGGTGTTCAGTTATAAAAGCTCAGCTTGTACCTCACTGACGTCCTTCTCCAACCTATTTCTGGGAAAGAGCTTATCTGTTATCAGAGGGCCAATCTCATCCTTCCGAATCTCTCCCTATTCTCCAAAGTATTATGACTAATATGCTCGCTCAAATCAGAAGTCTTCCACAGAGCATTCTGAATTCTATTTGAAAACTAGATCAGAGCCTTCATAACTACTCACTTATTCATGTCAACAGAGAAGAGCCTGGATACATACCGTAGCATGGCTGAAACCCACTGCAGATTACACCTACTCCTATCAGATTCCTATGTTGTCTATCACTCAATTAGACATAGGAGTAAAGTCTGAGAAAGTGCCTGTACAGATTCATCATGTGTAGCAGTGCCTGGCTAATGATAGATAGCAGATTGTGAAGAGGGGTAGTCTAGTCTTCTGGGACTGAAGTGATGTAGCTCGGTTTTAAAACTTCAGACATGATGTTGGCTTCCCTTCAAGATCTGTTTGAGAATACAACGCTAACTAGTCGCCCATAAACATAGTTGCCAATAGACATTTGGGGAATGCATAAGCTCAATATTTTGTTTTGACTCTCCCTTGAGCCCCAGTAAAGTTAGTACTGGAAAGTCTGTCTTCTCCTCAGCTACTTTTCTCAGAAGGGAGGCATAATGAAAGAGCGTGAGAGATGTGAAGCGCTAAAAGAGAAGAGGCCACTCCCATCAGTGTTTGCCTTAGCAGGTGTTTATTCTCTGAGGAGGCTGTGAAAACAAGCAGCGGAACAGAAAACAGAGATTGCTGCTAGACTCAGTTAGAGAATGATGGCAGATGGTCTAGGTCTCCGAGGGGAGACAGGAGGACGTGGTCTATGAAGAATCCCAGTCTCTCCACATAGTCTAATACAGCATTTCCCAAACTCGGTCCTGGGGACCCCAAGAGGTGCACGTTTTGGTTTTTGCCCTAGCACTACACAGCTGATTCAAATAATCAACTCATCATCAAGCTTTGATTATTTTAATCAGCTGTGTAGTGCTAGGGCAAAAAACAAAATGTGCCCCCCTTGGGGTCCCCAGGACTGAGTTTGGGAAACCCTGGTCTAATATATCTCAATATCCAATATCTTCAATACTTTTTGTGTTGTCTTGTATAGTATAATCATAACTAGGCTTTTCCCGGTGTGATGGCAAACCCACATCTACTTTATATTTCAGCAGGCCTAATATTTGTCTTTTGCCTGCAGGAAAATGTTGTGAGTGACGGCTGTTTTGAAATGTAACTGTCACTGATAGTGTTTTGGTTCTTTTGGTGAAGGTGCGCATGGCACTAGGATGACTTCATGAGCCCAAAAAATGAATCAATTACATGATATATGATATTTCTGGACTTTTGTCAAAATTGATAAATTCATAATGACACAAAAGATTTGGCTTGAATATCAGAATGGCATTGTTTGAACAAAACCATGTGACACTTGTTTGACCCCTGGTGGCTATGCTTTGCATTGGGGACACCTACAGTACTTCTCTTTGCAAAAACCCCAAATCAGATAAATTATGATGTATACATTTTACATTTACGTTTTAGTCATTTTGCAGACACTCTTATCCAGAGCGACTTACAGGAGCAATTAGGTTTAAGTGCCTTGCTCAAGGGCACATCGACAGATTTTTCACCTAGTCGGCTCGGGGATTAGAACCAGCGACCTTTCGGTTACTGGCACAACGCTCTTAACCACTAAGCTACTTATAGAAATATGAATTATGAAATGTTTTTCCACAATGCATCTTGTCTTTTAATATAGTAAAATTAGAGAAATTAGACTATGTATTAATTGCATCTTTGTATTCAGTTTGTTAAAGCCTCTTACTCCTGTCTGTCTGTCTGTACAGAGGGCTGGTTCTTCGTCACCCCAGAGAAGATAGCCGAGCACATTGCCCTGAGGGTCCACGACAGTTTCCACTCTGAACTCATCATAGACACCTTCTGTGGAGTGGGAGGCAATGCCATCCAGTTTGCCCTCACTGGGAAGAGAGGTACAGTACAGTAGCATCATGTTTTATCCAATCTTTTATAAACTTTTTAGATATTTTTGGTTATACTGTATCTGCATTTGCCTTTATAAATAGGGCGAGAGTTTTTCCTGACCCTGTGACTTGACCAGAAAAACCTCTGGGCCCTTGTTATATCCTATAGGTTAACAGTTATTGTCCTGAGTGGTACTCCCTGTGTGTCTGACTCTCTGTCCTCCCTGTCCCTTCCCCCATGCAGTGCTAGCCATTGACATCGACCCGGTGCGTCTGGCCCTGGCCCAGCACAACGCCCAGGTCTACGAGGTGGCCGAGCGCATCGACTTTGTGCAGCGAGACTTCCTACAGCTGGCACCCTGTCTGCGGGGGGATGTGGTGTTCCTCAGCCCCCCCTCGGGCGGCCCAGACTACCTCAGCGCAGATGTCTTCGATATCAAGACCATGATGGCTCCAGATGGATATCCGTTATTCCTCTCAGTGAAGCTGCTCTCAGGCTTTTATAGTCAGGCAACGGGCCAGACTCCAGCACTCAGGGCAAGGTAGAGGCAGAGCGGTAGAGAGGCAGAGCGGTAGAGAGGCAGAGCGGTAGAGAGGCAGAGCGGCAGAGAGGCAGAGCGGTAGAGAGGCAGAGCGGCAGAGCGGTAGAGAGGCAGAGCGGTAGAGAGGCAGAGCGGTAGAGAGGCAGAGCGGTAGAGAGGCAGAGCGGTAGAGAGGCAGCGAGGCAGAGCGGTAGAGAGGCAGAGCGGTAGAGAGGCAGAGCGGTAGAGAGGCAGAGCTGTAGAGACAGAGAGGTAGAGGTAGAGGTAGAGGCAGAGGCAGAGGTAGAGGCAGAGCGGTAGAGACCGAGAGGCAAGAGGTAGAGACCGAGAGGCAAGAGGTAGAGACCGAGAGGCAAGAGGTAGAGATTTGATTTGATTTATTAGGATCCCCATTAGCCGACGCCAATGGCGACAGCTAGTCTTACTGGTGTCCGACACATAACGAAAAATACATTACAGACTAAATACTTTACAATTGACATACATTTAAAAATATTAACATGTAGTGTGTGTATGTGCATCTATCAGTTACACATACATGTCAGTACATACACACAACAAGTAGGTCACATGGGGGAGAGTCGTTGTGCCGTGAGGTGTTGCTTTATTCATTTTTTGAAACCAGGTTTGCTGTTCACTTGCGCTATATAAGATGTAAAGGAGTTCCATTTACTGATGGCTCTGTATAATACTGTACGTTTCCTTGAATTTGTTCTGGACCTGGGGTCTGTGAAAAGACCCCTGGTGGCATGTCTGGTGGGGTAAGTGTGTGTGTCCGTGCTGTGTGTAAGTTGACTATGCAAACAATTTGGAATTTCCAACACATTCATGTTTCTTATAAAAACAAGAAGTGAAGCAGTCAGTCTTTCCTCAACTCTTAGCCAAGAGAGACTGGCATGCATAGTATTAATATTAGCCCTCTGATTACAATGAAGAGCAAGACATGCCGCTCTGTTCTGGGTCAGCTGCAGCTTAACTAGGTCTTTCTTTGCAGCACTTGACCATGACTGGAGAATAATCAAGATAAGATAAAACTAGAGCCTGCAGGACTTTGTGGAGTGTGGTGTCAAAAAAGCAGAGCATCTCTTTATTACGGACAGACCTCTCCCCACCATTGAATCTATATGTTTTGACCATGACAGTTTACAATCTAAGGTAACACCAAGTAATTTAGTCTCCTCAACTTGTTTAACAGCCACACCATTCATTACCAGATTCAGCTGAGGTCTAAAACTTAGGGAATGAATTGTACCAAATACAATGCTCTTAGTTTTAGAGATGTTCAGGACCCGTTTATTACTGGCCAACCATTCCAAAACTATATGCAACTCTTTGTTAATGGTTTCAGTGACTTCATTAGCTGTGGTTGCTGATGCGTATATGGTTGAATCACCAGCATACATGGACACACATGCTTTGTTTAAAATTGAAAGGAGTAGAGGGCCTAGAGAGCTGCCCTGCGGTACACCACACTTTGCATGTTTGACATTAGAGAAGCTTCCATTAAAGAAAACCCTCTGAGTTCTATTAGATAGATAGCTCTGAATCCATGATATGGCAGAGGTTGAAACACACACTACTGGTCAAAAGTTTTAGAACACCTACTCATTCAAGGGTTTTTATTTATTTTTACTATTTCCTACATTATAGAATAATAGTGAAGACATCAAAACTATGAAATAACACATATGGAATCATGTAGTAACCCAAAAAGTGTTAAACAAATCAAAATATATGTTATATTTGAGATTCTTCGAATAGCCACCCTTTGCCTTGATGACAGCTTTGCACACTCTTGGCATTCTCTCAACCAGCTTCATGAGGTAGTCACTTGGAATGCATTTCAATTAACAGGTTTGCCTTCTTAAAAGTTAATTTGTGGAATTTCTTTCCTTCTTAATGAGTTTGAGCCAATCAGTTGTGTTGTGACAAGGTAGGGGTGGTATACAGAAGATAGCCCTATTTGGTAAAATACCAAGTTCATATTATGGCAAGAACAGCTCAATTAAGCAAAGAGAAACAAAAGTCCATCATTACTTTTTAAGACATGAAGGTCAGTCAATATGGAACATTTCAAGAACTTTTAAAGTTTCTTAAAGTGCAGTCGCAAAAAACATCAAGCGCTATGATGAAACTGGCTCTCATGAGGACCACCACAGGAATGGAAGACCCAGAGTTACCTCTGCTGCAGAGGATAAGTTCATTAGAGTTACCAGCCTCAGAAATTGCAGCCCAAATAAATGCTTCACAGAGTTCAAGTAACAGACACATCTCAACATCAACTGTTCAGAGGAGACTGTGTGAATCAGGCCTTCATGGTCAAATTGCTGCAAAGAAACCACTACTAAAGGACACCAATAATAAGAAGAGACTTGCTTGGGCCAAGAAACACGAGCAATGGACATTAGACCGGTGGAAATGTGTCCTTTGGTCTGGAGTCCAAATTTGAGATTTTTGGTTCCAACCGCCTTGTCTTTGTGAGACGTGGTGTGGGTGAACGGATGATCTCCGCATGTGTATTTCCCCCTGTAAAGCATGGAGGAGGAGGTGTTATGGTGTGGGGGTGCTTTGCTGGTGACACTGTGATTTATTTAGAATTCTAGGCGCAGTTAACCAGCATGGCTACCACAGCATTCTGCAGCAATACACCATCCCATCTGGTTTGGGATTAGTGGGACTATTATTTGTTTTTTAACAGGACAATGACCCAACACACCTCCAGGCTGTGTAAGGGCTATTTTACCAAGAAGGAGAGTGATGGAGTGCTGCATCAGATGACCTGGCCTCCACAGTCCCCCGACCTCAACCAAATTGAGATGGTTTGGGAAGAGTCGGACCGCAGAGTGAAGGAAAAGCAGCCAACAAGTGCTCAGCATATGTGGGAACTCATTCAAGACTTTTGGAAAAGCATTCCAGGTGAAGCTGGTTGAGAGAATGCCAAGAGTGTGCAAAGCTGTCATCAAGGCAAAGGGTGGCTATTTGGAGAATCTCAAATATAACATATATTTTGATTTGTTTAACACTTTTGTTGGTTACTACATGATTCCATATGTGTTATTTCATAGTTTTGATGTCTTCACTATTATTCTACAATGTAGAAAATAGTAAAAATTAATAAAATCCTTGAATGAGTAGGTGTTCTAAAACTTTTGACCGGTAGTGTACGTTTTCCCAACAACAGGTTATGGTCAATAATGTCAAAGGCTGCCCTGAAATCTAACAGTACAGCTCCCACAATCTTCTTATTATCGATTTCTTTAAACCAATCATCAGTCATTTGTGTCAGTGCAGAAGATGTTGAGTGCCCTACTCTATAAGCATGCTGAACGTCTGTTGTTCATTTGTTGACAGAGAAATAGCATTGTATTTGGTGAAACACAATTTTTTTCCAACAGTTTGCTAAGAGCTGGCAGCAAGCTGATAGGTCTGCTGTTAGAACCAGTGAAGGGCGCTTTACCACTCTTGGATAGCGCAATGACTTTGGCTTCCCTCCAGGCCTGAGGACAAATACTTTCCTCTAGGCTCAGATAAAAGATATGACAGATAGGAGTGGCTATAGAGTCAGCTACTATCCTCAGTAGCTTTCCATCTAAGTTGTCAATGCCAGGAGGTTTGTCATTATTGATCAATAACAATAATTGTTCCACCTCTCCCACACTAACTTTACAAAATTATTTTATTTCATTATTTGTTTTTTTATGCATCAGTACGATGGCTCACTGTTCATTGTTGGCATTTCCTGCTTAAGTTTGCCGACTTTGCCAATGAAGTAATCATTAAAATAATTGGCAACATCAAATGGTTTTGTGATAAATAAGCCATCTGATTCGATGAAAGCTGGAGTTGAATTTGTCTTTCTGCCAATCATTTAATTTAAAGTATATCATTGATATATCATTGATCTTGGCTTCATAATACAGTTTCTTCTTATTTTTGTTGAGTTTAGTCACACAATTTCTCAATTTGCAGTAAGTCAGCCAGTCAGATGTGCAGCCAGACTTATTAACTACTCTTTTTGCCCTATCTCTTTCAACCATACAGTTTTTCAATTCCTCATCAATCCATGGAGCCTTAACAGTTCTAACAGTCAGTTTCTTAACAGGTGCATGTTTATCAATTATTGGAAGAAGTAATTTCATAAGTTCATCAAGTGCAGCGTCTGGATGCTCCTTATTAATCACATCAGACCAACACATTTTTAACATCATCCACAATTATTTTGTATGATCTCTTATAAACTTATTTAGGCCCAGCTTTTGGATCTTTGGCTTTCATGGATATACTGTAGCCACTATATTGTGAACACTGCATCCAATGGGTACAGATACAGCTTTAGAACAAAGTTCTACAGTATTAGTAAAAATGTGATCAATACATGTGGATGATCTTGTTCCTGTAGTGTTTGTAAACACCCTGGTAGGTTGATTTAATAACGGGAACCAGATTACAGGCACTGGTTACAGATGAAAACCAGTCAATATTCAGGTCCCCAAGAATGTAGACCTCTCTGTTTACATCACATACACTATCAAGCATTTCACACATATTATTTAGATACTGAATGTTAGCACTTGGTGGCCTATAGCAACACCCCAAAAGAAAAGGCTTTAGATGTGCCAGGTGAACCTGCAACTAGGGCTGTTGCGTTGACCGTATTACCTCCACACTGGCGGTCACAAGTTATGAAGGCAGTCAAATTCCACGTGACCGTTTAGTCACGGTAATTTGGCTTCTCCAAGCTCTGATGCTGCTGATGGTCATTAGTAGCCTACCAAACTTGCTAACTGCCTGGTACTCAGCACTCTATTGTCCCTCTAATCCAGGGGTGTCAAACGTCCGGCCCGCAGGCCGGATCAGGCCCGCAAACGGGTTTAATCCGGCCAGCGAGATGATTTTGAAAAAAATAAAAAATAAAAATAATTTTTTTTTTTTTTTTATACTTTTTGTAAAGTATAAAAATGCGCTGCAATTTTTCAATAAAATAAACTGCTGTTCCAATTGCGT